GGCAGCTTGCTTTCTCACTTTCTCTTTCTCTCTTTCTGTTGAGTGCATGTATCCTATAGCAAATTAATAATAATAATAATTAATAAAATTAAATGAATTTGTTTTAAAAAGAGAATATTCTTTTTTTTTAAAGTTGTAAACGAGGTACTAGTCTTCATATTATGATTAATGATGATGAACTCTCCCACTCTTTTTTCTCATCTCTTCCTAAATCTCAATTGACATTGTTGTCGCCAGTGCTTGGGGATTATACAGAATACCAGGTGCAGGTCAAAAGATGACTGTGTCAAAAAGAAAAACAGAAAACCAAAATAAATAAAAGAACAACTAGCCATCTCTTAATGCTTGTTGGAGGAAAATCACATTGATAGACTTTGTTTTCCTCTGGAAGGGTCATGTGTCTCAGCCCACACATTAGCATGTGAACTTGTTGTTCCAGTAAAGTGAGTCAGAGTTCCTCAAGAAGGCAGATTCATTTATTTCAGAGTTGTGTGTCAGCATCTCTGAAAGAAGGACCATGTACTATAGCAGTATGTCTTAGACACACACACACATACACACACACACACAGTTATTCTCACTCAAGACCTCATAGCTAATCAGCAGCAGAAGTGGGTTTTGAACTCAAGCCTAGGGGACTCAAGATCAGGCTTTTTTAATTATAGGGAGAAGAATACCATTAGGTCTGAGAGTAGGTTAAGCAATGGCCTGGATTCAGAATTGGGCTTGCATACTGGATTTACTACACGTTGGCCTTATGACCTTGAGCAAATTACTTACACTCTCTGTTTCAGTTCCTTTATTTATAAAGCAGAGATAGATAATAATAGCTGTGTGACAAAATTGTTTCAAAGGTTAAAAAGACCATGTACACAAAATAATTAGTACAATGCAAGGCACACAGTAGGCAACTGGGTCATGTTGGCTTAAACCACGACATAAGAATGGCGGTAGGAGGTGACTGCTAAGTCAATGGGCACCAACGATGTTTTTTCAAATCATATACCTCATCAATTAAAAAAAAATGTCAAGCACATGCATTCTCAATATATAGACACTTGTTTATAAAAGAGTATAAACATGCTATGCTGTGCTTACAGGTTATTTACACCATAAGCCAAGTGAAATAGAGCTGAAAGAAAAATCTTTTAAGTGTGTTTGCCTATCATGATGGCTTCCTGCTGGCATTAAATAATATCTAAAGGTACACTAGGTCCAGCCATGGTGGCCCAGTGTTCTTCAGTGCTATAGGCCATATGGAAGGTCTGGGTTCCATTTCTGAGCTGACTTGTACACACTGGGCCTGTACATGCTAGTGACCCTATCTGTCCGAAAAGCTTAGTGGTCAGGGTAAATCATGGTGTGAAACCCTCTTGAGGGTACTTGTTGGTCTGTCTCTCTCTCCTTTTCTCTGTCTCAATCAATAAATAAATTTTTTTAAATATACTATATAAGTATGACTAGATGTGTTTTTCATGATTTTAAATTATTTTCAATGATATCTAAATGGTTTTATATGTGCCTGTGTGTTCATATCTCAAAAAGTATCCATGACCCCCCACCCCTTGTTTTATTCTGACTAGATCTTATTTTAACCCTATGCTGTGAAGAGCAGGTCCTGAATGTCACCATCTCTACTTATATCTGAATGATCATCATCACCTGCAATCCAGTGACTGAATCTTCTTTGGGCTCTTGCCCATTTGTGAGGGTTAGTTGAAATAAAATTAGATAATATCGCTAAATCCACTAATCTGGAAGCATGTAGCAAATTCTGGAAGCTGAGGACATGTAAGCCAGTGTGTGCCTCTGTCTCATGGTGTTATGTGGCTCCTACTTTTTTTCAAGAAACCTTGTACATCTTACGTGACCCATGGCTATCTGATGCGTGGTCCAACTGATGGATCTAGTGACGGTCCACATATTAAATGTCGATAAAGATTAATTAATTTCTTTTGACTGGAAAGCATATAAATGGTACTTCCTGTATTTTTTTTTTCATGGATCATCCTGAGCATTCCCTGGAATGCATGTATGCCACTCAAGAAATACTGACTTGGGGACCAACTGATGGCATAATGGTTACATTGCTGGACTCCAACATAGTCAACCACAGTTCAAGTCTCAGACCTGGTAGCTTAAAACTCAAGCCAGGTGTGTGTGCATGCATGCATAAAATCCTGAGAGGAGAATGGAGGAGAAGGGATTGCAGAGGCCATCTCCCCCTGGGGGTGGGAGGTGATTTCTCACTTTCTGTTTCTGTCTCTCTCTAACTCTTCAGTGGGCTCATGTGCCCTATAGCAAAAAATCTCTTAAAAAATAAAGAATGAAAGAAGCATTGGCTTGAATGATCTTATAGTCTTGCATGGCCTGTGTTATGACAGTTGTCACCTTTTCATTCAGCAGCTCAGCAACTATTAGCCAGGCACCTGTTGTCACCTTTTCATTCAGCAGCTCAGCAACTATTAGGCAGGCACCTGTTAGTGCTAGGACCATGCTAGATATAAGACCTACAATGACCTGACTCCTGTCTTCTGGGAGTTCACATATAGTTGCCACCACACCAGGTCCAGTTTATTCTACCTTGTATGTTGTGGCTCGGGACACTGCCAAGCTTGCAGTGCCCTTCAGGGCCCAGGTCTAGACTATCTGGCTGTCTTCCCCAACATCCTAAAGCCATTGTTTCCCTTCCCAAGGTAGGAGAGAAGGTTCCAGATCCCCTGCTCACCACATTGCCAGCTTTACTTGTGTCTGCCATTCATGGAATCCACATCTTCATGAAACTGAGAGCAGAGGCCTACAGGCCTTTGGGAACTCCCAAGGCAGGCCATAACATGAGAACTGGGTGTTTCCTCTGCCCACTCAGAGGCCCTGTGGTGGTCAGTGCTGCCACAACAGAAGTGGTGCGCGGTGGGTGCTGACTGGTCTCTCAGCCTTGACACGCCAGGGAAGGGTCACACCGCATGAATGCGATCTTTCATGGCCTTGGTACAGGGCCCCTATTTTTCCCTAAAAAAAATCACTTGCTTTCAGAAGTGACGATCAAATGTGAACTTTCATGGTTTATTTATAGCGCTGCCTTATAGTGAGAAAGAAAAGAAGTGATTAAAATGCTATTTTACAAAATATTTTGTTTTTTAAAAGCTTTCATTGTGTGGACAAAAAAAGGAAAAAGAAAAGTCACTGTATTCATTGTGCTGTCTAGACTCTCAAACAAAGAGGGTAGCGTGCTGCAAATTAAGATTGTCCGGCTCCTGCCTGCTGACAAAAAGTAGGAATTTGGAGGCCAACTTCAAATAAATCCTTTTGAACAGAAATATATTGTGGGGTAGCTATAATTAGCATGTGTCAGCATTTCCATAATAAATTCATATTGTTTTGCTGTGGTAATTTTCAGATTTACTGCAGCCAGTTGAGTTCATGAGGTTTCAGTTTTATGTTAATTATTTGGAGAAACTGGAAAACTCAGCAGAGCTATTTCTGATGACAGCACTGATTCTCTGGGCATTCTCTGTTTTGTGTCAAGTAACCATAATGTGGCCTGCCTTCCAGGCGAGATGAGAGTGATTGTCTGTGGAAGCCTAACAGTTTTTAGTTTGTTTTTTTGTTTTGTTTTGTTTTGTTTTTTAATAATGCATTATATTTATATTTTTCTTACAATTATAAAATCGATATATGCCACTGTAGAAAATTTAGGAAATAAATGAAAAAATGATCACTCACATTCTCAGGCCTGTTAACTTTATATTTTCATCCAATCTCTATTAGATTATATGTATCTTGTGTTTAACGAGTTGTATAAGACAAACAAAAAAGTGTATAGCGCAAGCACAATTACAGGGACAGAATCAAAAGCAACTGGATGTCTTATTCCCATGACCCCTTTATATTTGTACAGTGGAGCTAATTTTTCCCTGCCTTTGTTTAAAATTCTGGTAGTTCATTCCTTTCTTGGATAAGTATGAAGTCACTAAGATGATGTCAATTTCATGGTCCCTTTGTGTTGTGATACATAGCCAAAATGCAGAATTTCAGATACCAAGGGATATACAGTGGGTCTTCAAAAAGTTCAGACAGTCCATATGTGGAAAAACTATGCATGAATTTCACTTTTTTTAAATACTAAAACTCACTTTAATGCCATTTTTTTCCCCAGAAACTTCTGGAGATTCTCTAGATAAAAGTAAGATTATTTCTGTTTCTCCAGCTGGATTCTGCCACAAATGAGAAGAGATCCCCATGATCAGATTCTTTTTTTTCCCTCATTCACTTCCTCTCCAACATATCAGCTTTTCTCTTGCTCCTCTGATAGTTATAGGGCATAAGGGTAGAGAAGTTAAGGATGTCAGCAGTCACATTCCAGAACTCAGCTCAATCAGACTTAGCCCAGAACTCTCATATCTGAACTCATAACTTCAGAAATTGCTAGTAGCCTACCATCTTAATGGGTTTTATGATCTCTTAGCTTAACGAGTATTTATAGCTAGTTATAGCTAGCTCTTGGTCTCATGAGGATCCGCTATGTTTTTTTTTGGTTTTTTTGTTTGTTTGTTTTTTGTTCTTCCATCTCCCATCTCTGAAAACTTTATTTTTGTTAATGCCTTGACAGATTGCTTACTCTTCTCTTAATTCCTTAGAAATCCACTAGCTCACGTTCAGCTTCTTTATACACACTCCCTCTGCCTCATTAGGCAGTCATATTGGGCAAGACTTGAGGCAATCCATGACAGCAGTCATACCTGAAGGCCATGAGGAGTCTGTGGAAAACAGTCATCCCTTTGGGAACCCAACAGATTATAGTGTTGGCTGATCCCAGTGCAACCTCTCCTTCATTTCAACACTGAAGCATCTAGGCAGGATCCACATGAAATACACTGTGTAACACAATGGCAGGGATAGGCATCGAGTTCTTCATAGGTCTTAGTGAAGCCCTACTTTCTCACTTGTGAAGGGAGAAGCTTCTTTCACACCTCACCCTGGAAGAAGTCCAGATGTGCAGTAAATCAACAGTTCTCTCAAAAAAAAAAAAAATAATCCATCCCTTTGTCTGACCTTCCATGTGAAAAGTTTTTGATTAGCAATAATCGCACCTCGGATAAACCTCATTGGCTACGATACTGCCACTGCGCAAAGCTGACCTTCCATGTGGATGAAAGGTTTTTAAGAGTTGATTCATGGGTCCTCAGCCACTCTTTTAACAAATTCTTCAGGGTGGTCTGTTTCCAGCTCACTTTGGTATCTTCTATCTGTCATCTTTAGATCTCAGCCAAAACTTCCATTTTAACATTCTGTCACATGTATTATCCTTAAGTTCATTCATTCAGTAGACATTCCCTGAGTGCATATGATATGCCAGATGCTGTGTTTGGCAGTGAAGATAATTACAACAATTCCTGCCTAAGGAGCTCACAGTCAGTTGGAGAGGCTGATACGTTACCAGAAATCTTTGTGGTACCATGTCATAAAAGCTATAATGGACGGAAGCACACGGTGTTGAGGAAGCCAACTACTCCATCTAGGTGGGAGGCAGGCGGGGAAGATGAGTCAGAAAAAAACTGTCTCAGTGGAGTTGATATCCAAGCTAAGTTTAACTTTTAAATCTATCTATACATTTTGAGAAACAGTCCTTTTTCAATCCTTTGAAATCTTTATCACTGGTATTCATTTCTCAATAATTTATTTTTAAAGCCAGCACAGATAATGGGAAAAAAGAAAAAAATTCCCTAACGTCTGCCATTCATCTACACATCTGTTACAGTGGGATGGGGAATAACATTTATAGAGTACCTTCTATGAGACAAGTTCCCTGGAGCCTACCCATGAAGGCAATCCTGGAATATGTCTCAAGTGTGGGGCCTAAGCACAGAAGAGCATTCCCGGAAGGCACTTGCAAGATTCAGAGTTGATGATGGCAGTCTTCTTACCATCACTGCCAAATACAACTCAAGGAAAGGGCAAGGACAAAACAAGAGGATGGCAGCATGGATGGAGGGATTGCTGACACGATCTCAGCAAGATGTAGAGCTTGCTTTAAGGAATGAGAACACAGGCTAGGAAGGAAGTTGCTCTGACCCAGGAAGGCTAAGCAGAGCTCTTAAAACTCCCATGTTAAATAGAACAGCAGCAACTTCACTACTGTGTGTTTGACTATTTGCCCATTCATAAAATGGCTCCACAGAGGCCTTTTTTCAGTGTTTGTCTTTTCTCCAGGGTTTCCTTGTGAGTTTTTCATAACTTCAAATTTCTCCTCCCTACATAAGGCTACCATTTCTTTCTGCTGTCGGTGTGCTTGCTACTCTTAGCCTCTCTGTCTAATCACTTTCAAATCTGTTGAGGGCTAAGAAACCAGAAAACTATTATAGTTCAGATGTTCATGCTATTCTTGTCAAAGAGTCAATGAGCAACTTAGCAGGAGTGGAAATTTGTGTGTTAGAAAATGAAAAAGCTATCAGATGTCCTAAACCTTGAGTAACTATTGAAAAAGAAGTTTATATCCTTCTAGCACATTATCTATCACACTCTGTTTTGGCCACAGTAAATGGCTTTTCCATTCTATGTTGAGTCTTGATGAAAGGACCATGCAGTCTTCCTCTCTGTAGTCCATATGTATTGAATGCTGTGCTTGGCAAGTACAAGGGTCTCAATATGATTCATGACTACTCTTGGTACTGAGATTCAGCGATAAGCAGCCCCTACCCTTTTGTAGTTTATGTTCTGGTTAAGTCAGGGAGTATAGAAGGTAGATAATGAACTAGTAAATACATGCTAGAAGGTAAATAGTGATATGCAAATCAATCCATCAGTCAGTCAAACACAGTAAGGTGACAAAGATGGTCAGGGAGATCCTTGGATACCCAGGGGTTGTCTCATTCTCTGTGGTAGTTGACTTTTTTCCATATTTTCTTTCCCTTGGTACATAGTGAGTAATTAATAAATGGGTGGAAAAAGAAGTTGTACACGTGTGATTCCAGAATGACCATGTCCTTAACAATTTAAATTCAAAAGCTGTTATGGACACAGGGCCTATTTGGTGGAGCTTTGTCATGCTATTTCTTGCAATCTTTCCTAGTCAGGTCTGTTGGACTCCAAAGTTTGGGTTCATTTCATCCCCCTAAGTTGCCATGGCCTTAACAGCCTCTGGAGAATGCCTAAGGAAACCAACTCTTTTGTTCATATACTGGAGCCAACATGGTCTAAGGTTGACCTTGATGCTGTACAAACCTACCACACCACCCAGAGGTTGAAATGCCATCTGCCTGAGTGCCCTGCCATGCAGACAGGAATGTCCTGAAGTCACATTCCAGAACTCAGATCAGTTAGACTTAGCCCCAAACTCTCCTATTTATTAATTCACAACTTCCAAGACTGCTAGAAAAGGAGTTGAGGGTGAACTGACGAAGTCTTAATATTTTATCCTAAAGTACAGGTGCAAAGTGAGTCTCATTCAATTATTAATGTCGTCTTTAAGTAGACAGGTCCTCGGGGTCCAGTTATGTTGCCCTCCTATGTCCTGGTATTCAGGGAGGAAGGAGGGAAAAGGATACCTCCAACTGCTCCCTGGAGGCCAGCATAGAAGTGCTTAAGATGTATAGCCACAGATATAACTTTTCACGGGGTTTTATTCTCTTTAGGTCTATATGTATCTCCCATGTATAAAGTCCAACAAAAAAAGAGAGGTTTTATTCTTATTACCAGAAAAAAAATAAGTTTGAACCAAAAAAAATGGACTAACCAAATATCTTAAAGGGAAGTGAATTCTAATTAGACTGTTCTTGTCTGTGACAGTCCTCATGTTGGTTGCAGCTTTCCAATTCAGCTCTGTTACATTTTCCATTTAACAGGAGGCAATGGCAAAAATGAGCAAAGTTGGAAAAGTTGTGTTCCCGAGACATGAGGATAAAAAGTAAGTCTGTGTTTTTCATATGTACAGTGCTAAGAAATGATAACACACAAATGCCTGCGATTCTAGATCTGGAATTGACGTGGAGGTGAACTCATACAGTCCTGTTGTTGAAGAGTGTAGAAAAAAATCAAGTCCTAGAGAGGTAAAGTCGTTTTCACTTACCTAGGATTACAGAGTGAGGTAGGGCCAGAGCTAAGGGTCAGATGAAAGCTTCTGAATTCTCACACCGGTGCTCTTTTCCCTAGGTCACAGGCAGCAAATCTAGTCTTCTCTGTTCTGAAATGGGAATCTCATGTCTCTCCTCAAAGGATCCAGTAGTATCTGTCCATCCATTCTTTTACCATTTGTATCATTTGGCATCAAGGGCTCTAATGTGACCTTGATCAGTGTTTGCACCCCAGCTTTGTAATATTAGTGTATGGAGCTCCTTCTATATTCCAGACATTATGCTGGACTCAAGGCAGAATTTAGAGGGAATAAGACACAGACCAATTCATGCACAGAAATCATTCACAACAAAGGGATAAGGTCCACAATAGAAGTTCTACCAGGAGACAAAGTAGCCCAGGGAAGAAAGAGCTACTATTCTGTATAGGTAAGAGGAAGCTTTTGAGGGGAGGTTAAGTCTAAGTTGACTTAAAATGCTTAAAAGAAGGTCCAGCAGGTGGCATGGAAGTTACGGTGCTGGGTCTCAACAGCTGATTCCACAGTTCAAGGCCTGGACCTGATGACTTGAATCATACCAGCTGCATGTGTGTGAGTACCCAAAATTCCTAGAAGAGAATAGGGGAGGAGGATTGTGATGTGGTCATCCCCCGGGGGCTGATTTCTCACTTTCCCCTCTCTCTTTGTCTCTTGCACACAGTAAAAGTTCCCTGGCACAAAAAAAAAAAAAAAAAAAATTCAAAGTGAATTCTCCCAATATGAATACACTTCACACCAGTTTAGTTGGGGATATTGTACACATTATCAACAAACAATAATCCATTTCTGTGTCTCAGAAATGTCCTGCCTATTTTTCTCCTTAATCTCTTTCTTCACACCCTTCCCCTTCTTCCACCCTCCTCCTACACTGAATCCAGTATCCATAACCATTTTACAGACTTCTATATCTCTAATCCTTCAGTTTCACCATAGACTGCAGACAGTCGGTATATATTTAGTGGAAGCATACAATGCCTCTCTTTCATAGCCCAGCTTGCTTCACTCAGCAGTAAATCTTGCTTATTCATCCACTTTTTATCAAAAGCCAGGGTCTTGTTTTTTATGGCTAAGTAGTATCCCATAGAATATATGTGCCACATTTTTCTAATCCATTCATCTATCTGTTCATGGACTTTTAGGTTGGTTCCATGTCTTTGCAGTTGTGAATAATGATGCAATAGGCCATGATATGAGAGAACATTCTTGGTAGAGTAAATAACATGTACAATGTTATATAAATGGAAACAACAATGTGTGTTGAGGTAACCATAAAAACTCATACTTTCAGCTAGCTGGTGGCATAGCAGTTAAGACAGCTTGATACCACATAGGTGGCTGCCTAGTTTGAGCCCCAGACCTGGCAACCTGGAAAATATGCCAGACATATGCATATGCATGCCCCAAATCCCAAGAGGAAAATGAAAGAGAAAGAATTGCCATGCAGACATTCCCCACTGGAGAGGTGCTTCCCCCCCGCCCCTCTCTCTCTCTCTCCAGTGAGTGTGTGTGCTTTATAGCAAATTTTAAAAATAATAATAATAAAAATAACTTCTGAAGTACAAGGTATGAGATGAGGAATGCAAGAAGTGAGAGTGAGAATGGGGGAGGGTAAAGGTGGTGTATAGAAAGTCAATTTCTAAGGAGCTTGGAGGCCATCCTACAGACAAAATGGAATTTTAAGCAGTGATGAGACATGGTCAAAAGTAGATTTTAGAAAGATCTATTTTAGAGGATCAATTAGAGGGAGTTAATAAAGGTAGAAGTAAAAAGATCATTGAGAAGGTTTTTTCAATAATCCCAAGTTAGAGATGCAAAAGACCTCTTAATTAGAGGTTACTGGTAGTGATTCTAAAGATGAATGGACAGGTGTACAAGTGCCTTTGTAATTTTAGGAAAGAATTTGGTGTTAAGATGTAAAATACAGCAGACAGGCATAGGTACAAGTCCTACCGAAGCACAGTCGGTATTAACAGAGTTGGAAATGTCCAGGGATAAAGCAGTCTTAATTTTTTTTTCTTCATTTTCTTCTTTGTCCCCAAATGGAGACAGACTGTTAACCCTCTGTAAATGACATTGAGGGTGTCAGAGGAGCAGGCTTTCATGTTAGGAAGCCTAATACAATAATACAGAAATGAGTTCCTATTGACAGGGGGGAGCCATGGGCTATTCCCCTCTTTCTGTTCCCCTGAGGATGACTAGGGCATTCCTCCTTTTTCTGAAATTAGAAATAGATTATCCTCCTCTGTCTTTTCCCTGACCCTACTAAGATTTTTGAGGGAATTCTGTTTTTAAGTTCTTTCAATAAACCCCATGTGTTCCTTTTGAAAAGAATCTTGGCCTCTTGCAGTCAGCCATCAGCTGTCCTACGTTAAGGAGGCACATGTGGTGCTCTAGCACCATCTGCAGGTGGCCCAAAGATTTGCAAGTGGAAAGAGGAAGCCAGTTTCTTCTGCACTAACTACTCTGATATTATTGCTTCACAGCGTTGTAATTGTACGAGGCATTTACTTAGTTCTCTGCCACATAGACGCAGCTGACTGAATTGGAGAGTTATAAAATGGGAAGTAAGCTTATTTAAAAAGTCAGGGCCACAGAAACCAAATCTAGTGTATATAGTTCAATAAGCAAATGTTTAGGGTGATCCTGAATTTCATTCTTATGCCCAGGCCACATTTATATATTGTCTTAGAACAGTTGCTTAAAAGTACCCTGAAATTTTTCAGTTATAGGGACCAGCAGATGGCGTAATGGCTATGTTGCTGGACTCCCATGTAGTTGACTACGGTTTGAGTCCCAGATCCAGTGGCTTAAACTCATACCAGGCACATGTGCATGCATGCCCAAGATCCCAAGAGAAGAGTGGAAGAGAAGAGGGACCAGCAGTTAGCATAATGGCTATGTCTCTGGACTCCCATGTAGTCAACCGCGGTTTGAGTCCTGGACTTGGCAGCTTAAACTCAAGTGAGGTATGTGTGCTGCATGCCCAAGATCCTGAGAGGAGAATGAAGGAGAAGGGATTGCAGTGTGGCCATCCCCCCAGTGGGTGATTTCTCACTTTCTGTCTCTTTCTGGTGAGCGCATGTACCATATAGCAAAAAACTCTCAAAAAAAAAAAGAAGAAAGAAAATTTTCATTCATTATAAGGCACTATCAACAGAATAAAAAGGCAACCCACAAAATGGGAGAAGGTATTTGCAAATCATATATCTGATAAGGGATTAACATCTAGAACATATAAAGAATTCCCAAGAACAAAAAACTGCATACAGCTGAATTCAGAAATAAGCAATGAACTTGAATGGACATTTCTTCAAAGATGATATTTAAATGGCTGATAAGAACATGAAAAGATATTGAACTTCAGTAACCATTAAGTAAATGTAAATCAAAACTATAGTGTGATACCACTTCACACTCATTAAAATGGTTACTATTAAAAGAAGACACACACACACACACACACATCAAAAAAAAATAGAAATGAACAAGAGTTGGTGAAGATGTGGAGAAACTAGAAGCCTTGTGCACAGGAGGTGGGAATGTAAAATAGGATAGCTGCTGTGGATCAGTTGTTCAAAAAATTAAAAACTGAATTAATATATGGTCCAGCAATTCCATTTCTGGGTATATACCCAAAAGAACTGAAAGTGGGGTTTTAAAGAGATATTTCTATACCCATGTTCACAGCAGCATTGTTCACAATAGCTAAAACCATGGTGGAAACCCAAGTGTCCATTAAAGAATACATATGTAAGCAAAAATGACACATACTAATCTTGGAATATTATTCGGCACTAAAAGAGAAGAAAATTTTGACATGTTCCATATGGATGAACCTTGAGAATACTATGCTAAGTGAAATAAGACAATCACAAAAAGATAAATATTGTATGATTTCACATATATAAAAAATAATGCCGGGACCAGCAGTTGGCATAATGGCTATGTCGCTGGACTCCCATGTAGTCGACCACGATTCAAGTCCCAGACCCAGTGGCTTAAACCCATGCTGGCACGAGTGCATGCATGCCCAAGATCCTGAGAGGAGAATGGAGGAGAAGCGATTATGGCATGACTATCCCCTCACCAAGGGGTGATTTCTCACTTTCTCTCTCTCTCTCTCTCTCTCTCTCTCTCTCTCTGTCTCTCTCTCTCTCTGTTTTTCTGGCAAGTGCGCACACTCTATAGCACAAACCTCTCCAAAAAAATAGTAATACCAAAGTTGTAATATTGTCATTATTAAAATTGAAAATTTGTAAGTACATGAGAAGGGGAATTGACCCTAGCTCCCTTTAACAGTCTTGAGAGTCTACAATCAGGATGTCCATCTCATGTAGGGGAGGAATTATTTAACATTATACTTTCTTAGAGTATTACAAGAAAATCATCCCTAGAATCATTCTATGATTCATGAGTTTGGAGGCTCATAAGAATAGAATATTATTTAAAAAACAAACAGTAACTAGCACTTAAATCAGTCATTTTGCAAGACACTGTTCTATGTGCTTTTCATATATTACCTCATTTAATTCACACAACAGCCCTTTAGACGTGGATCATTTATGGATGGGGAATTTAGGCACAAATAGATTAAGTAACGTATTCAAGGTCACACAATTAGTAATGAGCCATGTTGAAATTCAAATCTAGGATTTAATCTACCTCTTCAGAATCGACCTCTTGACCCTATGTTTGGCTTCAGAACACCTCATACCTTATCAGAATGCTTAAGGTAGAAATATTGGGATGGAGCAGGTGAGGGGGAGATACTCTTATTAACATAGGTCTATGCGGCAAGTAGAATCCAAGGTTACTCTTACAGTCTTCCTCCCCTAGTTGACAGGATGCGCCAAAGCTCCCTCATGAAACTCCTTTTCAGAATGCCCCATGATCTACCAAGACCCACGAAACTGACTTAATGAACCCCTCACCCATGCTAGCTCTTCCAACCAAGAGGGGTGATTGCAAAGTTGCAAGCCTTCAGATATGGTTTGCGTGGGGTGCTGTTCACCCTTTCAAAATTGTGATGTGGTCCTGCTCATCTAATTCATGACCAACATCAGTTCTAACAGGTCTCATGGAAGAGTCAGCTAACGAGGACAGGGAGGGCAGGGTCCACTGTAAAATGGCTGGAAAGCAGGGCACAGCTACAGGAAAAGCATTTGTCAAGTTTCCATGGGGTTTTACTCCTGGACGGAGCAGTCTACAAAGGAAATTAGGTGTGGAATCCCCAGAAGGGTGTTTAAAATGTTCACGCTCATCCTGGTCAGGCTGTGGTTATATGCCACTCACCAAGCCTGGGCTAGCCACATAGGAGATACTTATAAAAACTGGGAATGTGAAAAGGCCTGCGTTGGGACCAGCAGTTAGCATAATGGCTATGTTGCTGAACTCCCATGTAGTCAACTGCGCTTCGAGTCCCTGACCCGGTGGCTTAAACCCACACGGGGCATGTGTGCGTGCGTGCCCAAGATCCCTAGAAGAGAACGGAAGAGAAGGGACTGTGGTGTGGCCATCCCCCCTGGGGAGTGATTTCTCGCTTTCTGTCTCTCTGTCTCTCTCTGTCTTTCTGGCAAACGCACGCACCTGATAGCAAAAACCTCTCAAAAACAACAACAACAACAAAAAGGCCTGTGTTAAGCCTGGGCCTTTCAGTACCCACAGTGGAGTCTTTGAAGTCAAACAGACCTGAGTTTGGGTTCCAGCTTGTCCAGCTTTTAGCTATCCTACTGTGGACATACCTCTCTGAGATAATATTCCTATCTCTGGAATGGAGACAATAGTATCTCTCATAGATTGTAGATAATAGGCATGATGCACGCCCATCCGGTGCTCAGGATGCAGGAAGCATTCAACAACTGGGGAGGTGTCTGCATAACTGTAACAGGTACTACCCTTTTTGTTTTTAAGTTTTGCCATAGAGTGGGTACACTGATTGTAGAGAGACAGTGAGAGGGAAAGTGAGAAATCACTCCCTAGAGAGGATGGTCACAATCCCTTCTCCTCCATTCTCCTCTTAGGATTTTGGGCACACAAAACAAGCACGCAGCATGATTTCTCAGCTGCCGGGTTCAGGACTCAAACCACAGTGGACCATGTGGGAGTCCAGCACCTTAACCACCAGACCATCTGCTGGCCCTGGTATCTTCCCATTCTGCTAACATTCATTTTTCTCCCACAGATATTATGACAAGAAGTATCAAGTATTCCTGAAGCTGGTTGAACACCAGAAGGAGTATTTAGCAATCATGAATGGGGACTGACAGGACTTGCAGATGCTGATGCTGGAAGGTTCTGTGCTGCTGCATGATGGACTTCTGACGTTTCATCTTATATTCAAAACCCTTTAAAAGTCATGTCATCATTTCTGTATTATCTTCTAATAAAACTGAGACATGTGTGATCAGAACTAGTCTTCCATTTCAAAATACATTCATGCACCACATAAGGACTTTTTAGTCAATGCCAGACTGCATATTGCAATAGTGATCCCACAAGATTTAATGGCAATAGACAATTCCTATTGCCTAGTGATATCATAGCTGCGGTAATGCCATGGTATGAAGCATTACTCATGTGTTTGTGGTGATGCTGGAATAAACAAACCTACTGTGCTGCCAGTCATAAAAAAGTATAGTGCAGGGCCAGCCCCGGGGCCTAGTGCTTAAGGGAGCCCGATTCCACATGGCTGACTGTGGTTCAAATTCTGACCATAGCCGCCTGAAAACCTCACCAGGGTATGTGTGTGCTCGCTTGCCCTAAACGCCAACAGAATGGAGAAATAAAAGACAAAGGATTGCAGTGTGATCATCATGAGGTGCTTTCTTTCCTTCTTTGTGCATCTCTCTTTCCATCTCCTTCAGGCAATTAAAAGAAAAAGTATAGTGCATCTAACTATGCATAGTACATAATACTTGATAATGTGTAGGGAGCGGCCAGACCTGCACTAGGCACTAGCTAGCTTTAAAGTCTAGATGATCCTTGTGCTTAGGCTGCAGGGCAAAGGAAAGGTCTTAACAAAGACACACTACTGCTACACTGCAGGGCAGTTTAAATTAAAGGAAGCTGATTGTCTGCCAGAGAAGGCCAGGGGAAACTTGTTTAAAGCTACAGGATGCCAAAAAACACGAGACAAAATGCTCCATGGCCAGAACCTGGTTCCTCCATCCCCCATTTCTGCATAAAAAAAAAAAAAACCTGAAAATGACTTGCACCCACAGAAACACCCGTTCACCTGATTCCCACTTTCTCTAGGTGTGTGTCTGTGTCTTTGTTTTTCTCAATCCATTTGCCTGCTTCCACTTGGGGTTCCACATCCCTTTGCTCCACAGGCCAGGGCAATAACGATAATAAATGATTGTGTTTCTGATTTATGTATCTACTATACTTTTTGTATTTTTTGTTTGTTTATTTCTTCCATGAGAGAGAGAAACAGGCACCCCCAACAGAGTTCTCACTTTATAATTCACTCCCAGCCTCAGCTAACCTGGACCACAGCACACATAGGTGTGCTAGGAATGTACAAGGAGGCCATGGGCTAATGACCCAGTACCTTCCTATACTGGTCCTGCATTGCAGGAAAGGGAATTACCACTGGCCACCTGCGGGCTCACATGTTGTATCGTTATTTTAGGCTATACTTCTTATACTCCCCCCCACAACAATGTACCATGAAACAGTGAGCCATGTTAATCTCAAAGCACCCTTAGACATCTCATGTTTACTGCATCTCTGGACTTCATCACTTAATCTTGTGTTTGACTTAATCTCTTAAGAGATTGCTCATGACCATTCCAGTAGAAAAAGGTGTAGAGCTAGAAGACCATGATATTAATGATCCTAACCCTGTATAGGACCAGATTAATGTGTGAGTGCCTTCATTTTTAATTTAAAAAGTTCAAAGTGAAAAAATAAATATATACATTTTTTTAAATTAAAAAACCTTATAGGCCCAACCTGGTGGTGTAATTAGTATCAAACTGAACTATAATGCTGGAAGCCACATGGCTGACTATGGGTTTGGACCCCCAGGTTGGCCTGAAAACACACCGGCACATGTTCCTATGTCCAATATCTTGATAAGATGGGAAAGAACTGTGGTGTAACGAGACTCTGTCAAGGGTGCTTCTCCCTCCCTCCCTCTCTTTTTTTTCTCTCTCTCTAGCACACATGTGCTCTCTATCATGACTGAAAATAAACTAATAGAATAAGGGTAAAAAGAAAGAAAATATTTTTACAGCTGTATGGTGTGTTCATGTTTTAAGCTAAATGTTATTACAAAAGACTCAAAAAGTTCTAAAGGAATTAGAAGTTTATAAAGTAAAACAATGACAGCAAACTAGGTTAATTTATTATTAATTTATTCACTATTATTGAATTTATTTTTTTTTTACTTTAGCGTAGCCTTGCGTCCAACCCCATGGTGCAGCAGTTTAAGCACTGTGCAGAGGTATCTGGATCCAGTATGGCCAACAGAGGCTGAAGTCCCAGCCCTAGTAGTTGGGAAAAAAAGATACTGTTAGTGACTCATGCCCAGGATCTTGACAGAATAGAAAATTGGAGGAAAAAGGATTGTAACATGACTAGGCCCAGGTAGGAAGTGCTATCTCTCTTTCTCCTCCTCTCTCCCATGTGTATATGAACCCTCCAGCATAAAAGAAAATCGGTATAGCTTATGTGTGCAGTGTATAAAGTCTCCTAGCTTTCATATTATTCACTACTCACTCTGTCATCCAGAGCAATTTCTAGTCCTGCAAGCTTCACTTATAATAAGTGCCTTACAAAGGAAAACCCTGTTTTATCTTTTATATCATATTATGACTATACCTGTCCTATGCCTAGATAGGTTTAGATACATAAATACTTAACATTGTGTTATAATTGCCTATAGTATGCCATACAGTAATATGCTTTATATATAGGTTTTAGTCTATGAGAAATAGACTAACATGTAGCCTCACTGTATAGTACACTAATCATCTAGGTTTGTGTAAGCTCTGATGTTTGCACGATGAAATTGCCTAACAGTGCATTTATCAGAACATTGCATCGTGAAGCTTCGCGTGAGTGTACCACTGTTACTGAGTTGGCAGTTTCCATACAGGTACCATCATGGTGGCAGAAGTCTAACACAGAGTCACAGGATCTCATGTGAGATTAGACCTTGGGGATCACTCCATGCCGAGGAGATTGGTACTTGTCCGTTTTATTCAATGCCAGTTATTAAGTGAAAGACTGACATTGCTTCAGGTAAGAGATCTCATGTCTATTCTGTGTCCTTTGTGGCATCTTTTTTTCTGGCATAGGATCCAATCTAGGATAAGATATTGCCTGTAACTGCAGCATCATCATTTTGCAATCATCATAGTGAATATAAGTACAGGCAGGAATTATCCACTGATACAGGAGGGAGTTTGGATGAGTAACAGGATGTATGCATGGTCTTAAAACGTCTCTTCGCAGACTGTTTACTTGTTACGAGAGGAAAAAGAATGTTAACTATACAGCGAAGAAATAGGACAACATCTCGATTGGGCGATCAAAATTAATTTCAGATGGGCAAATGGACACCATGTGCCTCCAGATGTGATAGCCTGAGAAGGAAACAGCATCACTCCGGCTGGGAATTCATAGCCTGAATCTAATAATAAGAGAACATCAGTCAAACCCCAAATGGGGAACAGTCTATTTTTTAATGGTCTTTATTTTTCAAAAATACCTGTCAGAAAGATGAAGAAAGGTGGAAAGCTTCCAGATGAAAGGGAACTAACGAAACATAATGATTAAAAGCTTTCATGGAGGCAAGTGTTTGCAAAGCTATCGTTAATAGCAAACACATAAACACACACAGACATTTTCCTACACACATGTACACACACATTCATTTACCATTTCAGACTGAAGAGTAACGGCGGACATCTATTCCAGAACTGGCACAGTAGCTGAATTGGAGAAGAGGCCATGCTGAGACCAGCAACAGAAGGCAGCAGGTGAAAAAAGAAAAGGCCAGTGTGACAAGATCAACCTCAGACATCCTGTGGATACTTATTCTGGGCCAGGCATAGTGCTACACACTGGGGTGCAGGAATAAAGAAAACGTAGTCCCCAAGAAGGAGAGCATCTGCCATGTGGAGCACATCAGGCAGAAAAGGAGGAGGAAGATTAAGGTTGACAGAATAAAATGCAAGATAGCATAATGGCTATGAGCATTGGCTTGGAATCCTTGGCCTGGTTTTCTTTCTTACTAGCTGTAGGACTTGGAGAAAGGTCATTAACCTTCCTAAGCCAAAGCGTGGGAGTCCAGCGACATAGCCATTACGCTAACTGCTGGTTCCCAAGTTTCCTTATTTTTAAATGAGGATATCAATAGTACATACTTTACAGGATCAGAATGAGAATTAAATTCAATAATCCATAGAAAGTACTTAGCTCAATTGCCTGGACCATGCCTGTCTTCCTACAGAGCCTGGACCCTAGAAGATGCTCAGAATAACAGCAGTAAACACTGACTAGGGTGACCACACCCAGTTACAAAGGCCAGCTTCAACAGCATTCTACAGAATCCAAAGAGCATAGAAATCTTACATGGCCCAGGGTGAAGATGGATGTGTGTGCCTGATTCAGCAGG